TTTATTTTTTTTCTAAAAAGAAAAACCCGTGCAAAGCAGAGACCTTTTCCTAATTAAAATTAAAGGGTCTATTTATTTATTTTTTAAATTATTTTGTGGGCTTCAGCCCATTTTCACACAGAAAGTATCAAACTACAATATAGCATCCGACCATCTTCGCCGGAGAGTTCTCGTCGGATTCTGCCATTAACACCGGCGAGTGACGTACTTTTTAACTTCTTTTTTTTTTTTTTTTTTTTTTAAATGGTTCTCCAGTAAAAACATTATTATACGATTTAAACTTGAAAACTGGCATAAACGAACTTTTATTTAGTTATCCAAAACTTACCCTTTACTTGTATTCTAATTAATTATAACCCCCACATTTAACAAAACCCTTTCTTAAACCTAATTTACTACTCATTCCACTCAAATCACTTCTTCTTTTTTTAAAGTAAATTCAGATACCCATTAGCAAACATGCAAGAATTGATCAAAACACATATAACCCACATAATAATTTCCATCATTTCACATCCTAAAATCTTCAAAATGAATTAACTTCAACAACTGGAATACTTATTCAATGATTTAACACGATCCATTATAAATCTCTCTTGTGAATCTTCTTCAACGAGCTGTATTGAAATTAGGCTTGATTCCTATGAAAGCAGAGAACAACTTCTGCTAGCAATTCTCAAAAAAGAAGCGATGGTGGAGCAGAATCTGTTTTGTGATCGCTAACGAATCCATAATTGGTATCTTAAATGGAAGAAAGAAGGAAGAAGAGGGTCCATTATGCATATATTACAATGATGGAAAACGTGAAAGAAGGAGGGGGTGAACTGCAAATATTTTTACTTTAAAATAACAGGCTTCAACAAAGTTTGATGGTTTGAATAAAAAGAAGAAAGTTTGAAGTCCAAATTGTTAAAACAAATTAAAATGTGTCCAAAATGTAAAACAAATAAAAGTTTGTTGTCAAAAATGTAAAAGAAAACGAAAGTTTGTTATTTGTTACATCTTTTTAACTTCCGAAATATTCGCGCCTCACACTCCAACAGCCTTCACTCAAATACTTGCAGAGTGGAATGGAATCCCATTTCTTCCATTTTCCTCTCACTAAGAATCAACTTCAATATTCCATTGTTCTTCTTTTCACAATCATTTAACAGAAACTCTTATGCGTTCACAAGAATCAACCCCCATTTCGAAACAACTCTCACACTTGAATCATATTCACAAGAGCAATCATCATGGGTTGTGTTAAATCGAACCACCAAGGTGAGTATTCCAACTTTCCAAGTTATTTCATGGGTTTTCTTCAGATTTTTGTATGTGAAAAAGATGAATCGTGGGTTTAATTAATGTGTTTCGATCCATTCTTACATTTGTCCTTCCGGGAATCTGAACTTTTCGCTGAACATGAAATGATTCGACTCAATTCAGTGGTTAATTAGATGTTCAGAGAAAGGGTATTGTCTCATTTGTTCATCTCCGATGGTTTTCTTTTTTCATTTTCGCATCATTGTCTTCTGTAAGTTCTAAGTTGTATCAACGATACCCATAAGATAAAATTCTGTAGAAATCTTCATTATTGAAGACCATTTTGTTTAATTAGTTCTAAAATTACACTTTTTTATGTTAATTTGTCAATCTCAAAATGTAATATGATCAATTGTGTTACTTAATAACTTTGTTTACATTTTCTAGTAACTCCATTACTAGGTATCCGAATAAAGAAACCAGACCCATGGAACTACCATGAAGAAATAACCCGTGAACAACTTCGTGCAATTCGCAATGAGTTCTGGCAACATGTTCAAGTTTATGGAGGGCGACAAGGTAATTTTGTTGATCAATTTCATAAAAAAGAAAGTAGGATGCTATATAATAAATAAATAAATAAAAGTACGTTGCTATTTTTGTAGAGATTTGGGATGCACTTCGAAGGGCATCCGAGGCCCCAATACACATTGCACAAGCAATAGTTGATAGTTCGGGGATTATCCCTCATGTTACGGATTTGAGGGTTAGCTTTGATAATAGGGGTAAGTTTCTTTCTTTGAGAAAAAAGTAGGATGATATAAATAATAATAATAATAATAATAATAAGTATGTTGCTATTTGTTCTTCACTGATTTTGTAATTTTGTTTATAGGTACAAGATACAAGTTGCCATATTGTATGTTTTGAGTGAGCCAAGTAATCTGATCGGAGGGTAGATATGAGAAATTGAGAAATGAGCGATGTAACAGTTTAGTATGAAGATGGTATATCGTGTGAATGAACTAACTGTGCTTGATTTTGAAACCACAAGACACCAGTGTTACCCTAATGAAAGATATCCTTAAGTTGCTACTTTTTGCAAACCACATAGGCCATTTTTAAAAATTTGTCTTTTATGAATGTTTAGAAATTAAACAAGATCGATGAAAACTTTTTACATAAATAGGTGATTGAACATTTTTAAGACCTTCAGGTATAACCTTCACGAAGGATGTCATGATTGATGTGGCAACAACCACTAACCAAGAACACCATCCCGGTGCTTAGTGGTGGGTAGTAGTCGTGGTGAATTGTTGTGTATACCACAGAACACCACATCCAATTAATTTCTTTCATTCTCTCTATCTCTCTCTAACTCTCTCTACCTCTCTCTACAATAATATATATATTTTATTTAAAAGAAAAATAAAATAAAAGGGATATAATTGTGGGTATCTCATAGGTTTAGTGGTTAGATGTGATGATGAAGTGACACCCACCACTATAGTGGTTAGTGGTGGGTATAACGGATGACCTAATAAAATATATAAATATTATTGATAGCGAATTATTCTCATTACATTACGTTTAAATGATAAAGTACTAGCAATATAAATACACGATACAGGGGCCTATACAGTACTCAATACATGGGCTATAGCCTATACAACACACAATATATGGGCTAAAAAAGACTTTATGATGAGAGTAACATATATAGATATTTTTGTCATTATTATGATAACAAAAAATCAAAAATCAATTTTATTAAACATTACAATTTACAAACCTAATTATATCTCGAGTTAAAGTCTAAAAACACTAGTCTTTCCAGTCATTTAGATAGTTTTTTTTTTTTTTTTTTTTTTTTTTTTTTTTTTTTTTTTTTTTTTT